GATCACTTAATTCCCGAAGATTCTGATGATGACTTTAACTATGGAATATAAAGAACATCCTATGATTTACTCGTGATATGATTTTAATCCACTCATGGATATTGATACATGTATCTGCACTCTCTCGCTACGCTCACTCGTGCAGATATCATATCCATTCGTGGATAAAAATCATATCACTCATAAATCATAGGATATCCTCTATTTAAGATGTGATATTCGATAGTTTAAAAGTGATATTCGATGGTTTGTAAATTGTTTGATAAAATATGATATCTTGATCCACATATCAAATATATCATCATGTGATATTCGATCTATATCCTCCTTGCAACCATGGGATAAAGCTTTACGTCCCGCTCCAAGCGGGCAGATGTAGTATATCTGCCCGCTACGTCATAATCGCCGCTTGCATATTTGTTCATAATTTGTAACGTTCGCGGAATGACTGTAAACGGCAATGGAGAAAACACAGACAATCAGGGTCTGTTTGATAGTTAAAAAAGGGAAAGGGCATCCACTTTATCAATAAAAAATTCGAGAAAATAAATATGGGATTATTTGAGAGAACATGAAAATCCGCCCACGGCCAAGAAAACAAAACTGGACATGAATATTCTAAAATATTTCCACGATTTAACAATGTGAACCAGATGACCAAGATTGGTATGGGATAAACATATTATCATATAGTCAGGATATTGGGATTATCCCGTGGCCAATATATAGGGGTTATGCAATTGGAGGTTTTGGATACAGGGAATATCCCGAGGGATATACAATATATCTTCCCGAGGGACCGAAGGGACCAAGGGAAGACATATTATATATCCCTCGGGATATTCCCTGTATCCAAAACCTCCAAGTGCATAACTGTTGTATATAGTTTAGCATGATATGTACTTCTTTCTGTAACTGGAATACGATTCTAATATACAAGCAGCACATACGTATTCCCGGGGAACCATAAATATTTTGTGTAGTGTGTGGACATTTTTCTTTTCATTTCTCTAAAATCAGATTATTCTCATAAAATTCATACAAAGTTGGGCCTAAGCCTCTATTTTCGTATTCTGCATGTTAAGATATTTATAATGTAAAACCTAAGAGATAAATTCAATGTCTTCAGTTGAGAATAAGTATAAGGTAAATGTGTGAATTCTGCTTGTTGTTGCACTATTTTTATAATAAACAAGGTTCGATACGCAACACTGAATAGACTGCAGTCATAGCTTAGTTGTAAAGAAAACAAAAGAAGTTGGGACGTGGTCATGCTTGAATACGATTTTAAATATATCGCCGTTTACATTTGTTGAAATCGTCCTGTATTAATTTCAACAGGTGATCGGTGTACAAGGGCATATATTTGAGTTATTGGTTTAACGATAAGTATGACCTATGAGTGGGTAACGTTTTACAAATGCATGAAACAAATACTCCAATGGCCTAATCTCAATTTTCCTGCATAAACTATTACATTGAAATGATGGTCATTTGCTCTCTAACTTCCGCACCGCATACGTAACTTCGTAACAATTCAATAAGCCAAGACAGGACCGCTATAATCGCTACATGCCAGTGTACCTTATGGGGGAAGAATTCATGCTGAAAGGCCGATTTTCAAAATGGCCACTCATTTAAAAATGGTGGCCATTTTAGTGCCGATTTTACAGTAATTTAGGTGCAATATGTAAAACTGTAATAGCAATATGTTTTAAATGTAAAAAATTATGTAGGACATTAATAAAGCTCGAAATGTAGATATACAGAAGCACATGGCAGCCATCTTGAAAAATGGCGGCCTTTACTTATTATTTTACGATTTTTGCTGTAACTCGAAAAGTAGTGGAGCAATTTTGTTCATATTTGGTATGTGAATACTATAAGCATGGCACACTGTCTAATGACACTTTTGGTAGAAGGCGGCCATTTTTCAAAATGGCTGCCATTTTAACGTATTTTACTAGAACTCAAAAAGTAGTGGAGTGATTTTGTTAATATTTGGTATGCGAATACTATAAGCATGGCACACTGTCTAATGGCACTTTTGGTAGAAGGTGGCCATTTCGAAAAATGGCTTCCATTTTTGCTATATACTTTGTTTGTAAAAATGCCAGCCATGGCTGTTCGATGGGATTTGCTACGCTTTGGCGTTGCTGTTGTCTAGTTATTATTATATCTCTTTATTTCCCATTTAGCATGGAGTACAAAAATATTTAACTTTTAACACAACAGTGAAAATTAACCAAAACAACAACACAAAAACACATCTAAAAATTTAAGACAATAACAAAAACACAAAAAAACAAAAACAATTCACATCTAAAATGTCAATGACAAGTAAGTTTTGGCACGCCTTGTTGACTTTAACTTTAACAATGAAATGGTTTTACTTTTTTTTGTCATTGTTTTCGCTTCCTCATTAGTATTTATGTAAACAAATTATTATTTGTTGGATATCTTTGTAAAACGTGTATCTAAACAAAACTGGGCTAACAATGAAATGATTTTCTTCCCAGGAATTTTTCTTTCTCCTGCAATTTGTAAATTATTCCATGTGGCAGTTCCCCTGCAATGTCTGCATGATTCATTCAGTCTATAGATCTGGATTTTGACTCCATAAGAAGAACATTTTACCCAGAGGTCTATCGAGCCATTCTTGTTTCAACCCACATGTTTGTACCTGACTACATGTATTCTCCCTATATAGAATGCTAATGTGCTCAAGAGTTTAGAATGACTATTAATAGATATATGCCCTACAATTGATAAATAAGGTTATCCAAAGCTTCCAAACTTGATAAAACTTATTCATGACTCCACAGGGTGATCCAAAAAGTGAGCCTGAATTAAATCTTAAATAACTTCTAAACTGTAAATGATGTTAACTTAATCTTTTTGGTGCTTTGTTTACACTATGATTGACAAAGTAGTGTTAAAACTAATGTTCTTTCTTTCGTATGATACCATGGACAATATATAAATGGGTGTATATTGTGAAAAGATATGCCAAAATAAAATTGCTATAACAAACTTAAGCAAGCATTCATGTGTAACATTTAGATAACAATAACAAGTAAATAACAGGTAAATGTGTAAACATTTAATAACTGCCCAACACATTTGTCAGGTTTTGAGTTAGTCAGCAGTTGATACCAAGTAGTAGATTTTATCATGGATATGAAAAAGTATTTACATATTTTATTACTATATGTTTTTCAAAATAGTTTCAAGCATTTCAAAATGAGGAGTTTTCTCAACATGTGTCTAATAATTTTTTCAGGTTTTGAGTGAATCAGCAGTTGTTACCAAGTAGTAGATTTTATAATAGATATGAAAAAGTATTTACATATTTTATTACTATATGTTTTTCCAAATAGTTCCAAGCATTTCAAATTGAGGAGTTTTCTCAACATGTGTCTAATAATAACCAAGTTGACAGTAGTTAGTTACCAAGTTCACCACTAGGTGGCTAATTTGGGTCAGATAACATGGCAGATAAATAGAGGGATGCTCTTAAACTCAGATTTAGTGGATCAGATTTAATAAAACCTTTTCTGTTTAATAACTGAAAATATGTCTAGTGAAGGAAAATATTATCTGTCCGATACAAGAAAATAAATTTCATTTTTTGTAATTTTTAACAAGGAATTAACCCAACCACGAAGTCACTTTTTTAAAGAAAAGTAAATTTTCATAAAGTTAGTCCATGTTTCTAAATGTAATTTAATATGTATATTTCAAATATCAAATCACTAAATTTTGAATATTTGACCATAGTAGTCAAAATTATATTGACTTGCATCTAGTCTATTGTCCATAGCATTACTAATGCTTATCATTATATACTAATGTTAATTTGTCACACACAGATAGATAAAGTATATAAAAATAAAATTCATATCATGTTTAGTTTAAAAAGTTACATCAGACCCTCTTTTTTAGGCCACCCTGTGCATTAATTTGACCGTCTTGTATTTTGATTGTTCCCTTTTACAATGATTTTGTTTCTGGAGCACTTGTGATTTGAACAGACAGATTACAGGTAGTACATTAATAAATTTTATTGATAATCTTTTAATTATAACCATAATATATTGATATTAGTTAGTAGCTGTTTTAGAAAATAATAACTAGACATTCAAGATTGCAATTAATATTAGGGAGCCCCTGAAGGCATGTATCATTTTAAAGGTAATCCATTTTCCAACAATTTCGTATATAACACTATGTCATGCAATCAATAGTAAAGTTTTATTATACTTATATGGGAGGCCGGGTTTGTTGAAATTCAAATGCCTCTGGGACTGGCCAAAGTTTGAATTAGCACTTGTTCACATTTGAAATATGAGAGATATCAAATTCAGGACAGAGGAAAGGAAATTGTTCAGATCAGATAAGTGGGGGGGGGGGGGCATAAGTGTTCAGATGAAACAGGTTTCACTATATGTGAATACATAGCCATTTTTAGATATGACATCCATTTTGTATATACATGTTATTTTTAGTTTTTTTTGCTTTAACTCCAATTTCATTGATACTTTATTTGTGAAAACTTGGCAGCTTGATGAATTATCATTTGACAGTTGGACCAATATTTTGAGAAGGAGTCAAAGGCATACAAGGGGAATCCAGGAAACCCGGGTTCAGGAAAGCAAGGTTCACTGGTTGTTTTCGTTGACACCTGTGCGAAACTACATTCATGATTTATACGACAGTGAACAGGAGGTTGATAATTTTTGTTTTGTCAGTCTGGGTCAAACATTTACAGTATAGGATTAATAACGAGAACCCCTCTAATAAAAGCAATTAATTCCAGGTTTGAAAACTCCTGAAAATAACACAAACAACTCTAATTATGAACTGTTCACATTTTTGCAAAGGTGGATTTGGATGACGGCAAACTTGGGTTTTGATGGTGCAGATTATGCCAACGAGTGCTTCTGAATATTTTTGTGATTTTGAAAAATGTGCAAATAAAATTGTGGCTGTTTTTTAAGGATCACAACCTACTTCCTAGTAAAAACCAAGATGTTGACACAGCAACAAGGTACCTGACTGCAGATGAGAGGAAGAAACAACATGCTCAAAGGAAACAACTAGGACAGCTTAAGAGAGAACAAAAACAGTCACAGAGAAAGCGAAAAGTGCTCAAGTTAAATGATGATGTGTGTATGAAATTGCTATAAGTATTATAAAATTATAAAAGTAAAATATTAAATGTGTATTCTTATGTTATTGATCAAATATTTTCAAATATTTGAAAAATATGTTAACTGTTAAATCCCTCTGAGGAATGTATTTTACATGACTGTGTTAGTTCATTTTGTTCACAAGGAAGATTCAAAAATGAAGTTTCCTTGACTTTTTTCATATATTTGCTCAACTCACAGAGACTGAGTATGAATTCAGTATGAACTTATTGGTTATCCCTTGTATTTGAACAAGGGTATAAATAGTTTAACATGACCATGACCATGCTCATCTATTTTAATTTGTTCATATGGTCCATAAGGCAGGTATTAGAATGAAGAATTATTCTAGGAGATATCTTTTTGCAGCTGCATTTTGACATAACACTGTAATGTACAAAATAGGCTATTCAAAAATGTATTTGATATACATTAGGCCTATACAAAAAAGTTTGAAGTTTTTTGAGAAAAATGAAAATCTGCATCAACTCTTTTGTCTACAAAACCAAGATATTTGATTCCTTTTTCCTTAAACATGTTATACTCATTATTTATGAATTCTAGGACTTCCACATTATTAGTGATGAAGAAGATGATGGTACCAACCCTGACTTGAGAGATCTTGAGTTCAGACTCACCAACAACATTGATGCAATGCAAGTAAGTGAATTTGATCTAATTGTATCTATAAACAACTCATATGTTATAAATACAAAAGTCAGGTTTTATTTTTAACATATTGTGGATGGTATTTAGTTGTTGATGTTTGGTGTTTGGTAGTTAAATCTGTAATAAATGGCAGGTAGTGACATTTTGCATGTGGCTTGTATATGGGTGCGTTTTGAAGCCATTATAATATTTTTCAGGAGACATCAAATGAGTCACGTAATTTCACCCTAAGGGAGATTAACATGCTGAAGATAATACTCTGCAGTGGTCTGTACCCTCAGGTTGCCATAGCAGATGAGCATAACACGTCAAAAATAGATTCAGAACAAATGTTCCATACAAAGGTATGCATACTTGTTTTTATTACACTATCAGTATCTAGAACCCTAATTTCTAGTGAAGGAGATTTGTGATATAACTGAGCGAACCCAACAAAATAATTACCAATGGCCAATATACAGCCAGAGGAGACCTTTTTTATGGAAAAATCAACATCAATATTGCCAAATATCAAGGCAAAAATGCCATTTTTTGATGGGTATGACACAGTTCTTACTTTCATCTAGTTCAAATTGAGGCAGGACTGGGAAATTACATCCTGGATTCCAGTGATATTGGGACAGATAGTAAAACTTATATACTGTGCTATGCCCTAGATACAATATTGTGTTTGTTATTATGTCACCACCAAAAAGTGGTGACATATTGTTATGGTCTCCATTTTTTGTCACAGCACTTGGCAATTGGCGATCAGCATGTGGCGGTTGACGGTTGATGGTTGGTGTCTGTATTAAATTCTTACAACTTCCAATAACTTGACAAATACTGTTCAGACTGACTTCAATCTTCAAAGTTATCAAAAGTTCAAATCTTACGAGATTTAACTTTTCACCTTCAGTGAGCTTCTCAAGGTCAAAAAGGTATTTTTTCAACCTGTTTCTTATTGGCTAATTTTTTTCCAAAATCATCTAAAAGTTCTCAGAAGTTCAAATCTGACTTTATATTTGAGATTCGACCTTCAATGATTTTCTCAAGGTCAAAAAAGGGTCAAAAAGGTATTTTTTCAATTTGCATCAAATTGACCATTTAAAAAATCATCTACAAGTTCTCAAAAGTTCATATCGGACTATAGATTTGAGATTTCACCTTCAATGACGTTCTCAGGGTCAAAAAAGATTGACATTCAATGACCTTCTCAAGGTCAAAAAAGGTCAAAAAGGTCTTTTGTCAACTTGTTTCAAATTGACCAAATATTTTTCAATGACCTTCTCAAGGTCGAAAAAGGTCAAAAAGGTATTTTTTCAACTTGCTTCAAATTGACCAATTATTTTTCAAATCTGACTTTGTATTTGAGATTTGACCTTCAATGACCTTCTCAAGGTCAAAAAAGGTCAATAAGGTCTTTTTTCAACTTGCTTCAAATTGACCAAATATTTTTTTTCAAAATTATCTTCAAGTTCTCAGAAATTCAAATCTGAATGTAGATTTGAGATCTCACCTTCAATGACCTTCTTCTGGTCAAAACTTTTCAACTTGCATCAAATTGCATTTCAATGTGGCTATTAATGTTTTAATACACACTCCCCCCAGTTTTCTGCAAGTTAAAATGCTAAATTCTGCAAGTGAAATTAGTGAATTCTGCAAGGGGAAAAGGCTAATTCTGCAGAAATTCCGCGGAAAATATCGTGATAGATATAATTAAAACGGGAAAATTTCATGATAGTTACATAGGCAGTCACTACGTAACTACTCAATACATGCTGCCATCTAGCGACAGAAATCAAATGACGAAGTTTAAAACTTTCACTTCGCATAATTTGGTAATTTTTGGGTTATTTCTACAAGGGATTTGACTGAAAACGTGTGAAATTGTTGGGGAAATTGTTACAGGTAAGACTGACTATTCAAACTTTTGGAAAATATATCGATTCCGCGGAAAATTCCGCGGAGATTGACCAAAATAGTTGATTCTGCAATTCCGCGGGCAAAGGCAAATTCCGTCCGCGCTCTGCAAACACGGAATCCTGGGGGCAGTGAATACACAGCCGCTACTTGTATTTGTATTTTGAAATTATTAATTTTAATGAATAAAACTGAATAAAAATAAAAAATAAAAAAAATTGACCAATTTTTTTTTCGTTTTGAAATCATCTACAAGTTTAAATAAATTCAAATCTGACTTAAGATTGAACTCATAATATTATGACTAACTATGTGGTGACATTTTGTCATGTTAATCCCTTGTCTATCAGGGCATCACTATGGTTGTGGGATACATACATATTCATATTGTTCATTTCATTCAATTGTATATTCCAGCACAAGTCTTTCCTATACCTACAGCCCAATGCTGTGTTGGCCCATCACCCTGAAGTCCTACAGCTCAGTGACAAAGACATAGTTGCTGATACAAACAATGCGAGTAGTGTAGGCTCACAGCACCCTATGAGCAACAAACATCAGTTGCTAGCATATGTGTATGAACATTTCCTTTAATTCCAAAAGTTTGATATATCATTCAAGTTTATGTGTTCTGGCTCAGTTAGTGAGCTTATAGGTTTGAGTAGGCAATTGTCTGTTCATTGGTCTATCTGTCAACATCATGCATGGGGCTATACATTAAAACTGCTACTGGTATAAGATATAATAGGCACATTATTTCATGTCTATCCATAGTATCCACTTGACTTGAGATCACCATTCCTCTCTATTTTCTATAGTTTCGCTTTGGAGAATAAAGTTCATAATTCTAATTGAGCGTTACCCCTGCTTCGGACATAATATAGGTTTGAATGTCTTCTTTTGAATAGTCATGATTTAATTTGGATGAAATTTCTAAAAAATTTTTTAATAAAAAATTATTAGCGCAGTACACTGATGAACTTCTTTCTCCAAATCGAGAATTGTATTTTATTGAATCAGTCCACTGCATGTTACCCCTGCTTCGGACAATTGTGATATTTTTATATATCTTGTAGATTTGAATATCCTCTTGGATCCTTTATTTTAATTAAAACCATATGAAAAGAAAATTATTGTTTCATTAGGACCTTGTTGGAGACCACAAAACCTTACCTTGTGAACACTATGAGGGTGCCTGCCCTACAGACTCTGCTGCTGTATGCCAGTGCAATAGACACCAATACAGACTGCACAAGGTAAAGTATCATAGATAGGCACAAGTGTCATGGTAGATAAATAAAGAGAGGTCCAGTGAATAGTTTGAAATATTGTCATCAACTATTCAGAAGAATGCTAGTATAGGCATTATATTAAAGATAATATTATAGGAATATCCTATGGTTTTGAAAAAAAATATCATGTATATCCATGAGTTGATATTGATATCTTCATGAGTGAGCCCAGCCCATAAGCAGTGGACTTTTGAAAAACCATAGGATATCCGTTTATGCCATGGGCAGCGAAAGAAAAATTTAAAAAAAAAATTTTGAAAAAAAAATTTGAGGTAAAAACTTTAAAAAAGAATTTGAAAAAAATCTAAATAAAATTTAAAAAAAGAATTTGAAAAGAAAATTGAAAAAAACTTTGAAATTTTTTGAGAAAAAATGTTGAAAAAAAGTATTGAAAAAATGTTAAAAAAAAATTTGAAAAAATTTATTGCAAAAATATTTTCAAAAAAATTGGAAAATTTCTAAACCATCAAATATCACTTTTGAAACTATCAAATATCACCTTTGAAACCATCGAATATCACTATTTGTGAAGTGATATTCAATGGTTTGAGAAGTGATATTCAATGGTTTGGTCTTGATCCACATATCAAATATATCTTCATGTGATATTCGATCTATATCCTTGTAACCATGGGATAAATAGAGATTATCCTATATGAGGTTCAGGATATTGGGATTATCCCAAGGCCAATATAATATATCTGCCCGAGGGCCGTAGGTCCCGAGGGTAGATATATTATATTGGCCAAGGGATAATCCCAATATCCTGAACCGACTATAGGATGATATGTTTATCCCATACCAATCACATTGTTCAATTGGCCAAAGTTCAGAAACTTTGCAACCAACTGTGGAATTATTTTAAAATATTCATGTCCAGTTTTGTATTCTTGTCCGTAGCCGGATTTTCCTGTTCAAATCTTTGATTAATAACGGGGAATACTGCTCCTTCCCTTCTTTAAAGCATCAAACATATCGTGATTGTCGCGTTTTTCTCCATTGTGGTTTACAGTATGCGAATGTTACAAAAAAAATACGGGAACAGCGATTATGACGTAGCGGGCAGATATATTATATCTGCCCGCTCAGAGCGGGACGTGAAGCTATATCTGCCCGCTGATGAAAATATATAGAGATTATCTTATATGAGGTTCAGGATATTGGGATTATCCCAAGGCTAATATAATATATTTGCCCGAGGGCCGCAGGTCCCGAGGGAAAATATATTATATTGGCCAAGGGATAATCCCAATATCCTGAACCGACTATAGGATAATATGTTTATCCCATACCAATCTTGGTCATCTGGTTCACATTGTTCAATCGTGGAAATATTTTAGAACATTCATGTCCAGTTTTGTTTTCTTGGCCGTGGGCGGATTTTCCTGTTCTCTCAAATATTCCCACATTTATTTTCTCGAATTTTTTGATTGATTAGGTGGATGCTCCTTCCCTTTTTTAAACCATCAAACAGATCTCGATTGTCTGTGTTTTCTCCATTGTCGTTTACAGTCATTGCGCGAAGGTTACAAATTATGAACAAATATGCGAGCGGCGATTATGACGTAGCGGGCAGATGTACTATATCTGCCCGCTCGGAGCGGGACGTAAAGCTTATCTGCCCGCTGATGAAAATATAAGTTTTTACAAACCGGCTTTATGTACCTGTAACACGTCCAAGTATGGGATAAAAGTTTTTACAAGCCGGCTTTATGTACCCATAACACGTCCAAGTATGGGATAAAAGTTGATATGTTTAAAGCAAACCTTATCAAATTAATGTATTTGATCAAATTGATTCAAGATTTAGGCCATTTAGTGCAAAGATAATTTGGTATCCTATTCAGGTAATATGAAAACCATGGGCTTTTAAGAGAATAAAAAAGAACAAAATAAGAAGTATTTTTATGTCACCTCCAATAGTGGTGACATATGGTTATGGTCTCCCTTTTTTGTGGCCGTGGTTGGTGGTGGGTGGTTGGCATCCAGCATCAGGCATCAATTTTCTTGAAAGTCCATGGATAAACCGAACAAAAAATGGATAGCATTTGTCATTTAGTCTTTAGTTATTCAGTGGGTTTAAATTATAGGATTGTAGTTGACTCTTGGTTGGAGCTAAAGTTTCAAGAAACAGATGAAGCTGAGAAAATTATAGCTAGTGTAATACAACTACGTCATACGTGGCAGCAGTTGTTACAGGCAAGGCTTGAAGGTAAGTTATATTTATTGGTCAATATTGTGCATTGTAGTGGTAATGTGCTTGGGCTTTAGAACAACCATCTTGCTTCAAGTTTTGGACCTGTCTTCACAGAGCGTGAGAACTAGCGATATAAGACAACTAACAATATAAGACAACATTGTGAGATGACTTGATTTGAAAAGGGACTTTTCTTTTGTATGAAAATCTAGAAATAATTAGCTTTTGGGCATGCTTGGTAAATTTGAGGGCTTGTTTATATCTTTAAACATACTTTATAGTGCTATTGTGAAAGATTGAAATAACATGCATCAAACTGGAATTGAGAATTAGAATTGAATTTAAAGAAAAGAAACAGCCATATTTATATTTCTCATTGATGCTTTTATAACTTTTTTGAGATCTTTAATTTCTTTGATAGGGCTGTAATGCTGTAAAAACAATGATTTTTTCTTCTAATAAGGAATTTACATTTTTTACATCTTAATATCAATCATTTTGCGCACATCTTTATTCATTACTTTCCAGATAAATTTGGTGCACCTCACTCAAGTGATGGGGAACATAAGGCAACCCAGAAAAGTCGTAAACTTGAGAAACTTCTTGCATCTAAACTGGCAGAATATCTGGAAAGTGATGTGGTTTATTCCATTAGACGAGTTCTTACTGCAGAGACCAACCATCTTTATGTAGGACCAAATTACGGTATGGTAGTCACTTGCACCAGCAGAAGATTAGAACCTGGACTTAATTATGGGACACAGCAATCAAGAGTATTGGCCACCATGATTAAGGATTGTAGCCCTGAACTCAGTGCATTGTTTGCCGAATCATACCAAGAAGGTGTTGTTTCCAAATCTTTGCATGTCTGCGCAGCGGGAATGCAAAGTTTAGGAAACAATTCCTGAGTGGAATGAAGCAGCTACAATGCATTGAGTCTTGGACTTAAATTCTTTTCACACATTGCAAATTTTTTTTCTATCAAATCATTTAAAATGAACCAAATCACTAAAAGAACACATTTTCAATGACATTTTTTGCAAGGGTCAAGTTGGCAAGTCATCAAATCCAATGTGAAAAATCCATTCATCACCATGACAACTGTTTAACTAGTGAGCTTGCATGTGTTATTGATATTTCACACACTGTTCATTATGTGAATACTCTATTCTGATTGGCTGGAATCGGACACAATAATAACTAATAAATCCTGAAAACATGGTTATATTACATAAAGAATGTGATTCAAGCATGCATACATACCTTATGAATACATACACACCATCTCGTATCCCCCTTAGACCCTATTGATGCATTATTACGAAAATATTGGAGACAGGTTTGGAATATAACAAAAATGTTGGTCAGTTCTGAACTGAGTTGCAAATCGTATCAGAAATTCAAGAAAATTTTGGGTTTAACGACGTCGAATTACATGTATGTGTGAATTCTTTTTATTGAATTCTCCTCAGATGTCCAAAACTTTGATTCCACAATTCTATATTTATCTATATCGATGGTTACTATATCAATCTATGTCTGATTTTATCGAAAAGAAATAATACTCTTTATTCCCCAGAAATCGACATATTTGGAAGTATATATTCAACCTCCCACTAGTCTTTGTTAGATTGATTAGAATATTGATAGTATTGGTGAAGTGAGAAGACCTGTGGTTGCTCACGTGGATTCTGTTTCATTGTTGTTATTTTCCTGTGAGTGACCCAATCAATTGTCACGTCAAATCAATATGTTTATACTACACTGTCTAAAAATGTAAAGGGTTCAATAAATAGTGATTTCTGAACATCAGATATCTGAGAATTGATGATTAGGGTCATGTACCTCACTACCTTTAAGTACAATCATTACACGATGAATGGCAGTTAATCAATGAAAAAGTCCAATTGTTGATCCATGTTATGCCCATTGTAGTTGTGTATTTGAAAAGTCATTTACAGGATAATCACTTAACCCAAAATATGCTTATGGTCATCTAGCTATATAGAAATAAGTAATAATACAATGATAACCCAGGGCATATCGTGATGGCTACTCTATGACGTATGTAGAAGATCTGAGAATTGACTATTTTGCTCATGGTGATATAGCTATCGAGAAATAAGTAAGAATACAATAATCAGGCCTGGAAAATGTATGTTTACAACTCTATAAAGTGTATATAAGCCTAGATCTGAGAATTTACCACTTTGCTCATGGTGACGTTGCTATTTAATCATAAGTAATAAAAGCAATCAAAATTCACCCAGGGCATCTGGGCAATACAAATTGTTAGCTGCTCCACGAAGTGAATACAAATCTGAGACTGACCACTTTTCTCATGGTCACATTGCAATTTAAAAATAAGTAAGAATAAAATCAATAACCACCCAGGGCAATGTTCTTCCAATTTTCTGAATGTACTTTTTTCTCCGTGAGAAAATATTGCAAATGGTCATACTTAGGATTTTAATTGTTCAAAAAAATGTGTAGCTGTGTTATTTAACACTTTATAGAGACCTTCTAAATGCTTTAATAGTCCTGAAATACAATACTGTAACTTTACTTAATTTGACGGCCATTTTATTATGGCAAATTTGGCGATTTTCAAAAATTCACCAATTCATGTCTCTGGCATTTTTATGTCACCACCACAAGTGGTGACACATTGTTATAGTCTCCAACTTTTTGAGGATAGTGTTCAATGGTTGGTGTTCATTGTTTGGCATCTGTAAAAAATGGCAGGTAGTGACATTTTGCATGTTAATGCCTTGTTTTGAATATAATGCTTTATGTACAAATATTGGTACACACTTTGATAAACATTGAAATATCATAAGCCAATTTGATTGAGGACAATTTACAAGAGTAAATTTTGAACATAATCTTTCCACACGTTTATTACCAGTTCTGTATCGCATAATGGGCAATTCATGTCATTGACAGTAGTCAGGTGTAACATAATTCTATATCAAATTGAATGAAATAACACTGCGAGTAAACCAAATAAAATTGCAGAGCAACCCAGTTATAATGTCAGTTGTCATTGTTAATATGACTAAGAGTTTAGTATGAGTTCAGTATCAGTCTTTGTTTGTTACAATGTCAAAATATAATCATTGATTGTCTTAGCAACATGCTCTCTCCTGTCAACTTCGCCAATTTCACTGGTATTTATTCGTGCTATTTGCCCAATTAAATCTTCACCAATTTTGCCGAAGGAGTGGTATCGATATGGAGAACTGAATTCAACAATGTTTTTCTCTTAAACCAATAATTGAAAACATTCTGTAAAGAACACGGTATTTTATGTAATGTTGACTGATTGACAACAATTTAATGCGAAAATTATTTAGAAATATTTTATACAAGGGGCGATCCATATATTCTGATAAAAATGCTCTCATTTTGTGATTTTTTCACATATCCCTTTCATTTTTTCAGAACATGTAGATTATGCAATTACACATACGATGCTAAACTATTTTAGCTGTATCTTAAATTAATTTTGAAATAAGGTTGCCATGGTAACCTGTATTTAGGGTAGGCAGGTCAGTTAAATTATAACGTCTAAAATAGATAAATATGTTAATTTAATCATTCCTCGATACCTATTTTAAGCAGATCAAACGCATCTTCCAGTCATTGTCAGCTATTCATTGATCTGTTCCATACCCCTGTTGCCCTTGTTTGATAATTTATACAGTGGGATAGCTATCTTTTCATAAGAAACATCTCAATTTATCGTAGTGTTATTCTCTGTCCGCAAGCTCTTCTTGCAACCAGATTGCGGATGATCTTCAACAGTGACCATGCCTTCCTCTTTACAATACTACCTATATATTCTTTATGCAGATATAACACCTTGCCCATGCACTTTATGAGTCCATGTATGTCTCTGAAGGTGTCCTCTTACTTATTCTTGAAAGAAAATCGAATCTAATGGTATTTCCTAATGTATCCGTTAATGTGACACTCTGCATCAGCTACATTAACCTAATCTGACAATTTGATTTTTGGTGTGTCTGACATAACATGTAATGTCAATTGGCACATTCTGTCCTACAATGCTATCGTGATTTGTTGTGATGTTATAGTGAGCACGTATAAACAGTAGTTTAGCAACAAACAACGAGTAACAATACCAAACTTTTTTAGAAAAAATGCATGATTTCCGCATGCTTTAAAATAATTAAAATAACAAGTTATTTTGATATTTATATGTTATAATTAAATTGACCTGCCTACCCTTAATACAGGTTACCATGGCAGCCTTATCTCATTGATAATTTAAGATAAAGCTATAATATTTTAGCATTGTATGTGTAATTACATAATCTACATTTTCTGAAAAAATGAGAGGGATACGTGAAAAAATCACAAAATGAGAGCATTTTTATCAGAATATATGGATCGCCCCTTGTATATTAACTGTTTTTGTTAAATTTTTTTGTTTTTTTAGTGCAATTGTTTTTGCTCCTCTATACCAATTCTTGAAAATGAAATAAAATGTCTTTCCGAACCTTGTTGGAACAAAATAGCATATACAACATGTTTTTAGACTTCTCAATATTATAGTTATACAAAGGAATTTTTGGTTGATTTTAAGAAAGTGTTCAAAAAATTAAAACAAAATCCCCCCAAAATAGATAAAAATCAAGATAAACCTTTTATTTTATTTACAAGATACTTTTTTAAAATCAACCAAAATTTCCTTTGTATGATTACAATATTGAGAGACCTAAACATGTTGTGTTCATGTCGTTTTGTTCCAATGAGGTTCGGAAAGATGTTTCATTTCACTCTGGAAACATGATACCAAGAACAAAACAAGTGTTTGATGTGTTTTCTAAAACAATATAGATGAAAGAATATATATATTTCAAATTATATTGTTACCATTTAACAGATGACCATTAAATTGACGATGTGTTAAATTTTTAGATTTTTTTATGACTGGTTTAAGAGAAACGTATGTTCAAAAAGTTCTCCATATCGATACCACTCCTTTGCCAAAAATTAGATAACGCCAAATTAAAGAGAGTAACAGTATGCACATTATTCCTAATTGCACTAAATATCAAAATAGTTTATTCCCCATGTGTTATAGAAGAGGAGCCAGTCCTTAAAGAGATCTTCAAAGCTTCAAGTACAGAACCCAACACTGTTAAAGGTGGTGTCAGAGTAAATGACTACTTAACATATAACTGGTGAGTCAGTGACAAGATTTTAAACCCTATACAAACTATTTATAATTTGGATGTGTTTCACTGTTTTGTGTTTCTCGATATATGAGTATGATCATATGAGTAAGTAATGTTGAGTGTCTCGTAAATTTGCTTTTTTGTTTTTTAATTTAAATTTGTTTTCCCTTTGTGTGAAAGACACATGACAGGGGTGTAGCCAGCGAATGTCAAAGGGAATGCAAAGGTAGGTTATCGCAAACAATTTCAAACGATTCTGACTTGAATTATGAATATTTTGTGATCATGGACATGGGTGTATCTTTTAGATCCATTCATTATCTTCAAGAAAAGTATATATAATGATAATTTAGTTTATCAGACCTAAGTGATATTGAAGGGGCAATGGACCAATCAACATACTTTTTCAAAAATGTTGACCTAATTTTCACCAAAAATGCAACCTTTTATTATATTGTTGAATGCATGATTTAGCGGGATCAGATGTCCAGATATAACCCCTTTTTTGTTCGGCTTTTTCAGGAAAGCAACAAACTTGGCACATTTGTAGAAACATATGATTTGTGTGGAAAAATGATTTCAGGGCAAGTGGTTGGGGGTGGTCTTCATGAATTTTTTTACCTCTGACCCCCAACCCTATCAGGTGGGGAGGGGTAAATTATAAAAAATAAATAAAAGTGGTTTTAAAGTATTTTTGTTTAAATGACTTCATTTGGTGATTGCTTTGAGCCTTGAAATGATGTAAAACTCATTTTAGAAGTGGTATTTAGTGAGGAAAATACATTTAAACCCAATTATCCAGGAAAAATTCATTATTAAAAGGGCCAAATATGGGACGTCGATTACTGTATTTCAAGAATGTGATGACTAATAGCCTTAACAAAATTCACAGTAATAGAAGTATAAGTGTTTATTGCAGATAGAAAATATTGCTTTGGTAGCTGATGTACTCTCAGAGAAAAAAAATATCGAAATTTCAATTTTTTGGTGCATTTGGCTCAGCGGTAACCTTATCTTACCTCAATAATTTTTAAGATAGTCAATGTATGCATCTCATATGAGCTCAGAATGGTGCTTCTAGTCTTGTTTTGTCATATTATTGCTAATTACATGTACAAAAAAGATTGGAATCAAAAAAAAAATTCAAATTTTCATTTTCGATTCTGAATGGCCAGGGGTAACCATATTGTACCTTAATAATTTTCTAAATATGTAATATATCCATCTCAAATGAGCTCAAAATGGTGCATCTAGTCTTGTTTTGTCATAATATTGCTAATTAGAAGTAAAAAAAAGATTTTTTTTTTAATCTAATTTTCCTTTTCGCTTCTGAAGGGCCAGGGGTAACCATATTGTACCTTAATAATTTTTAAAATATGTAATATATCCATCTCAAATGACCTCAATATGGTGCATCTAGCCTTTTTTATTCATATTAACCATAATAAGATGTAGAAAAATGATTGATAATTCTTAAAACTCTAAATTTTCATTTAAGCTTCAGATGGTCCAGGGGTAACCATATTTTAGCATAATAATTTTCAAGATATGTAATATATGCATCTCAAATGAGCTCAAAATGGTGCATATAGTCTTGTTTTATCATACCCCAAATAAGATATAGAAAAATTATTTGACATTTCTTAATTTGAAAAAATCTGAATTTTCTATTTGACCATATTTTTAACATAATAATTACATATTATTACATATGCATCTAAAATGAGCTCAAAGTGGTTCATATACCAGAAGTCTTGTTATCATATTTCCCCTAATAATATATAAAAACATAATTTGACATTTCTAAATATCTAATATCTAAAAATCTAAATTTTATATTTGAGCTTTTGACAGCCCAGGGGTAACCATACTTAAGATAATAATTTTCAATGTATGTTACATATATGCATCTCAAGTGAGCTTGAAATGGTGTATATAATCTTGTTTTGTCATATCATTTCTAAGGAGATGGAAAAAATGATCAGATTTTGATTTAGCTTTTGACTGGTTATAGGTGGCCTCATTTTACCATAATAATTTTCAAGATATGTCACATTTGCAACTTAAATAAGCTCAAAATGGCATTTTGTCATATTCATATGTTCATATATTCATACTGAGATATAAAATGATAAATCAATGAAGTATTTTATAAAGATATTAGGTTTAAGAACACTTGCATCACCTCTGGGTACACCTTCCATTCCTCCAAATCAGATGATTTAGAGTAGTAGTTAAATGCAGATGTGACATCGCATAGAATGATTGAATGAAAAATGGGGAGGACTAAACTTTGGTCATGGCCAATTGATCTTGCAATATCATGCACAGATAGTTATTGAATGGATTTTCTTTTACAAAATGCAATCCAAGATGTAGTGGGAACAAGAGGGAGCTGTCCTCCTTCCAGGCATCAACACTAAAACCCTCAAGAACATGGCAAGATGATAGTGACCAAGTAATGCAATGTCTTAGGTGCCATCAAGGATATTTCTCCATACGAGAGACTGCTTCAATCATTGCCTAACAATTGATTTTGATGTAGTAAAACTGAAAATGTCAATTTGGATTGCATATGGTAAGGGGAAATCCTTCCAATATCTACCTGCCCACAATATTACAAGACCACTTGGCCATGACCAAAGTTTACCCCTCCCAATTTTTCATGCAATCAATGGATTTGATATGTCACCTTTGCATTCTACTACTTCTCTAAATCATCTGATTTGAAGGAATGGAAGGTGTACACCCAGAGCTATTGCAGTTGTTTTTAAACTTTGAATCTTTTTTTAGAAACATTGCAGTTGTAGAGTCATTTGTTATTCTGATGCATTCTAACCCACAGTTTCTATCACCACATGAATGTGGTTGGACTACTCCCACTGCTGATACTGAGGCCACAACATATGAAAATGTAGGTCCTATGAGGCGGATATCTGTATAATAACAAAAGATGTTGCATCTGAGGCATGCAAAAAACTTGTTTGATGTTTAAGGAGTGTTGAGGGAACATATGCAAATGTTTGAAATCATATCTCATTTGCTCTGGGCTATGTAGCCGTAGGGGAGACTGTCAGAATCTATAAATCCTGGCCTGTTTGATTATGTTTTATGGATTTGGATTATATTTTCAAATGATTATACATAGAATCTTAACAATGCTAATACTCAGTACAAACTGGACTGTCAAACATCTTAGAAAAGTGCTCGATAAAACTATAGTACAGTATTGAGCTAGTGGTACTAAAAAGGAATAAATGGATGTTGACATTTTTATAATTTTTTCTTATTTCAGAAGGAATAAATGGCAAAACTTGACTATAATCAACATTTTGAGCTCGTTTGAGTAACAAGTGTGATATATCTTTATTTAAATTATTACGGTAAAATGGCATCAAAAGCTAAGGCCGTAAGAATTAGATTCTTTGTTTTGCTTCCCCTTGCTTGCATGATTTTGACTAAATCAGAAAAAACAAACACATCCAAATAGCAACCACAAGGGTCTGAAAGTAACATCGCATTTCATTCAATCAGAATCAGACGAAATGGCGGATAAATTGATGTGCGTCAAAATCGACAGTGTTATTGATTACTTAGGCATACATTTTTTATTAATTTTTACCCTTGAATAATACCTATATTTAAATATATTGTATAAACGTATAGATCTGTGTTTGTATCACTGCAAATTGGTATGTCATTCCTTTTAATGCCCATAAAATGTATACATTTCTCAGCAAACAAGTTTGTGTTTTTTTGAGTTTGTGTTTGTTTCCTTGTACCCTTGCATAATTTGGATTTTGCCAGGACGCAAACCAGAGAATCTAATTCTTATGGCCTAATATGAAAATATCATTTTTTCAAGTTTCCAAACATTTTTTACATTCCCTAGAAATAATATATGACAAAAGAAGATTAAAAAACCCTTCAAAGCCCATTTGAGATGCATATGTCTCATACTTTGAAAATTATTAAGGTAAAATATGGCTACCCATAGGCCACAATAAGCTAAAATGAAAATTTAGATTTTTAAGAAATGTAAAATCATTTTTCTACATCTAATCAAGGGTAATCTGATAAAACAAAGCTATATGCACCATTTTGAGCTAATTTGAGATGCATATATTACATATCTTGAAAATTTTTAAGGTAAAATATGGTTACCCCTGGCCTTTTAGAAGCGAAAATGAAAATTTGGATTTTTAAAAAATTTCCAATAATTTTTTTACAACTTATTAGGAATAATATGACAAAACAATTCTCTATGCATCATTTTGACCTCATATGAGATGCATACATTGCATGTTTTAAAAATTATTAAGGTAAAATAAGGTTACCCCTGAGCTGCATGCACTTAAAAATTGAAATTTCGAGAATTTTTTTCTCAAAAAATACATGAGCCACCCGTGGTATATTTTCTATCTGAGATAATCACTTAAACCTCTACCACTGTGAATTTTTTCAGGACTATCAGACATCACATTCTTGAAATACAGTACTGGATGTTCCGTATTTGGCCCTTTAAACAACGAATTATTCTTAGATAATTGGGTTAAAATGAGTTTTTCTTGCTACAGACAACTTCTTAATTGGGTTTTACACAATTTCAAGGCTCAAAGCAATCACCAAATGAAGTCATTTAAAGAAAAATACTTTAAAACCATTTTTATTTAATTTTAATAATATACCCCTCCCAGTCTGGTAGAGGTTGGGGGTCAGAGGCTAAAAAATCCATGAAGACCACCCCAAATCACTTGCCCTGAAATCATTTTTTACTCATATCATATGATTCTACAACTGTGCCAAGTTTGTTGCTTTCCTGAAAAAGCCGAACAAAAAAAGGACATCTGACCACGCTAATTAGAATGTGCTTTGAGACATGTTCGATTTCCTAAAAGGAAAAGTTGATTGCTCCAGGGACTTTAAAGATATTGAATTTGGATGACCAAAATGAACTGAAACCAATGGATAGTATGAGATTTTTCAATGGAGAAATAATATGGGGA